GTGTTGAGCCATGACTGTTGGTAGTCAGGATTTCCTTGGCTCTGTGCTCAAGGATCACTCCTGGGAATGGTTAGGAACCATACGTGGTCCTGACACCAAACCCGATTTCTCCTCAGTCAGGATAAGTGTCTTGCCCTTGTGCTATTTCTTTGACCCATACGTATAATTTTCCATAGAGCCTTAAAAACATTTAATCTTAAAATATTTCTAACTTGATAACCATCTAAATACCCAAATAGTTCATTCATGATATATCCGGTGAAGATTTTGATTAAAACACCAATTGATATTCTTAATCAATACAAGGGAAACTGAAATTTCTTTCAATTATTGCTCATTATTTTCAAATAATAGCATAATACGAAATTGTAGTAAAACTTTGAAGAATTTGAAATGCTTAAACAAACTACTTTCATATTAGTACTTTTTCCATTTTATTCTTTGTTTACTGGTTGGCTTTTTGTAACTTGGGGGCCACAATCAACAGTGCTTGGAGTTGACTCCTGGTCACTCTTGGTAGAGCTCAGAGAACCATGTGCATTCCAGGCATCAATCTTATGTCAGAATAAGCAAGGCACGTGCCTTTACTGATGGTCTTTTTCTGGCAAATTCTTAAAGAAAGTATTTAAAATCTTAATTGTAATGATTTAATATGTTTTAACAACTCGTTTCAACACTGGAAGAGTTTGCATATTTATTTTACCCTATATTTTCTCTTCTGAGAAAACAATATATATGTTTATTTCTGTTGTCATGATACCTATATTTGTTTTCTTAGAAGAAAAATTTTAACTGCCTTAAAATGACTATTTTTATACCTTTATTTATGTTGAAGGAAAAATCTTATTAAATTAAACCAAAATAATAAAAGAAAGAACAAAATGAGACTAATGAGAACGAAGTTGGCAGACAGTTATTAATAACAAATGTTAAACCTTTTTTATATTTTCTAATACAGACTTTAGTATGATTTTTATATCCATACAGGTTATAAATACTTAAGTTTTCTGGTTAAATAAAAAAGAGACTTCTGCAGACAAAGGTAAATAATACAAAAAATTTTAAATAAATTAAGACAAAGTTACTACTTTTGTGATTCTAGGATAGACTTTAGGGAAGCTATATTGTAGGAAATATTCTTTGAGTTTAAAAGTTTTTAGCCAACTGTAAAATGCATACTAGTTCACTATTACCATTCAGGGTGAAAGCCAGTGTTATAACAGACATATGTTAAGAGGCATTATTTAATATACACAATAAAAGTTCTTAGCCCTAACTTGATGCTTCTCAGTTTACAAACTCCCAACTTATAGAACTTACCACATTTAAACAAAAAAATTAAGGTGACCTAAGTGATTGTATAGGAGGGGGAGTGCCTGTCTCCCTGACTTTGATCTACACCACGAATGCTACCCTGCCAGCCATGATCCCTGAGTATAGAACTAAGAGCAAATCCACTGTTAATAGGCCATGGCTCAAAACCCAACCAAAGAAAAAAAGATGCAACAATTATTAGTATGGACAAATCGTAAAATATGTACCAGTAAATGACAGAAGATTGTGTTATGGTTAAAAATAGGAAAGTCCACTGTAGGAAAGAGCAATTGAATGTATTAAATAATCATCTCAACTTGCTTCTTTTGATCAATAAACATAGCTGAGTACTTTATCAGTAATGGCACTAGGTTTTTTAATGATTAATCAATTTATCAGTGATTTACTGAATCCCATTTATGTACTTTGCATGGTGAGAGTTGTAGTTTGGTGATAAATTACCCAAAATAACCCTGCTAGAAAATGTTAGGAAAATATTTTTAATACGTTTCTATGTATTCTGCATTCATTTAAGAATAGTGATGTTCTTACATTGATAAGTTCAATTATTAAATACCATACATGTCCTTTAAATGCCATCTTTATTATATATTAGTTCCATAAATATTGCAATTGACATATGCTGAAATTCTTGTGATGTTACTTTTGACTATCGATAACATGCTTTAATAATAAATGTCACAAAATGACTATTATACTAGTTCATATTTTTATAGAATTTTTATGGTATGAAGGTATGAGTATAAAGTATAAAGAGTATAAAGGTATTATGGCAGAGTCTCCTGCCCCCATGCCTGGCTGTCCTCACCGGGGCCCCTTGGAGGGGGGACGGTTGAGTTTCTCTCCCCTTTCCCCCGCCCGCCTCGAGCAGAGCCCCAGCAGCTGAGGACCTCCAGATTCAGCCAAGGCCATGCTGGGACCACTCTCCACAGGTCCGGTCATGCATGAAAGAACTGGCAGAGGAACCCAGGTATGCGGGTCCCGGGGCTGAGGTCTCCAAGCCTACTCGGATTGGGACTGGGCCTTCTCCACCCAGACCCCCCCATCTTCCAGTAGGTAGGTGTCACACCCACCAGCTGCCACCAATGCCAGGTTGGTCCCATCAATGGCCAAGATGCAGAGACTATAAAACCCAGCTCCCGGACATCTTATTATCTTATTTTTCCTTTGGAGAACCTGGTAGGCTACCAAAAGTATCCTGCCCACACGGCAGAGTGTGGCAAACTTTTCATGTCATACTCAATATGCCAAATACCAGTAACAATGATGGGTCTCATTCTCCTAATCCTGAAAGAGCATTGAAATAGCTCTTTTAAAATCTCAGGGCTAGGAAGAAGGAGACGTTACTGGTGCCTGCTAGAGGAAATCGACAAACAACAGGATGAACGTGATCATGATGGTATAAAGGCATGGCAAAAAAAATCTCTGGAGATAACCACTTTTATAATTAATTAGTGTCATTTACTGTTAGAAGAATTAACAGCTAAAAAGTAACAAAACCCTCATAACTGAGCATCTGTATAAACCCGGCAGTTCCACTTTTTGTCACCGGTTCCAAGGGCCAAAAAATTCTCTTCTGAAAAGACATCTATATTCCTCTGCTCATTGTAGCACTCTTCATAATAGCCAAATTCTAGAAGTGACCCATGTGTCAAAGTCCAATGGCCAGGTAAAGAAACTATGATACGTAGATGAAATGGAAGTACTTGGAAGTTCTTGGAAAATATATGAATGGAAAGTCCTTGATCTTCAGGGTTATAGAGTTAGAGTATCGTGCTGAGTAAAAGTACTTAGACAGAGTAAGCACTAAGTGATCTCTTTCATACCCAGGTTTCTGCTACAGGCTATTTTGAAAGATCTAGAAGTCTACTAAGACCTAAAGATATCTTTTTACAACAACAGTAGTGAATATTTGTATAATAATATTAAAAATAATATATGTGATAATAATAATAATATATATAATATATATATAATAATAATAATAATATATGTAAAAATATATGTGATAATAATAATATATCGCTGGAGCAATAGCACAGCGGGTAGGGCGTTCGCCTTACAAGCGGCCGACATGGCCGACCCGAGTTCGATTCCTCTGCCCCTCTTGGAGAGCCCGGCAAGCTACTGAGAGTATTCGATATGCCAGACACAGTAACAACAAAGTCTCCAATGGAGACGTTACTGGGCCCGCTCGAGCAAATCGACGATCAACGGGAGGGCCTTTACCTTTACCTTTTATGTGACAAGAAAGATTATAGAGCATGTAGGGCACCTGCTGTGTGCACAGTCAACCTGAGTCAATCCGGGCACACGTGGGGTCCCTGAGCAGCTCCCCTAAGAGCTGGCACGGGCAAACCTCAGCACACACAGGCATGGCTCAAAAACCACAAACAAACCAAAAACCTTACCAACCACTGGAAGACTGCTAGGCCAGTGTAAGAGATTGGTCCTAGATAAACCATCAATCAACGCCAACAAGAGAAACCAAGATGAGGAGCTGATTTCAGAAGACTTAGAGAAGGAATCTCCTTTGAAGGGAGAGGCAATGATTTCAAAACTTTTAGGCAAGGGATTAAAGTCGATAATGAAACAAAAGCAACAGGGGACAAATAAAGGCCAAAGCAGAGGGCAGCACCAATATTTTAGAAAAATGCATTAAAGGAACTACATCCTTAAGTGAAATAAAGTTGAGGAGGAAGTGAGGTAAGTTTAATGATAAATAAGAGAAAGAAATGAGGTATTCTAACAGACATCCAGAAATAAACAAAGGAAGAACTTCAAGATAAGTGCTTAATTTACTAAAAGAAGTGAAAGTTCTTGATCTGAAAATTAGGTAAAGCTATAGGACATTGGACTGTGAATATCAGACAGGGTTAATTTTGTAAACTTTTAAATGACAGGCTAAAACTACACCCACTTTAAATGAAATAGGTAAATAAGTATAACAGATACATGGTAAATGTAACACAGACTTAAAAAACTTACAGTTGATTTTTTTGATTACATAAAATAAATTTTTTATTTTAACATTTGTTTCTTATTATACTCCTCTTCACTGAAAACTATACTTCTTATTTATTACAATCAATTCAATTTTAAAGTGTTGAAAGAAATTCAGATTATAAGTTTTTTTAAACTGCAATGCTTAAAAATATTATTTTTAAGAAAAGCACACGTCTTTATAAAAATTGTAAATCTTTCTGATGAGTTAACATATAGTGTAACTTAAAATGCTGAAAATTTTTTTGGAATCATACAAAATCGATTTGTTTATTTCATGTAGTACAGAATGATATAAGGAAGCTATTTGGTTTATTTATTTCTCTCTAGGAATTCATATTCAAGGTAAATAAAGATACAATAGAGAGTGAATTCCTAAATGTAGTACAAACTATTCTTTAAAATTTTAAACTACGAAGACCTTTAATTTCAAGAATGCAGGTCTTAGAAAATTAAAACTAAGAAGTGTGATTAGTTATGACTAATTTTAAATTATGTCTTTTATGAAAAATTGCCAGCAAAGTTTTAAGGTTAACTTATGATTTTAGTTACAGAGTAGGAGTGTTTTGTTCAACTGGCTCTTATAAACATATTTTTAATTTATCATCTTAATGACATCAATATATTTAGAACTGGATAATGCGATAATATCTTTGATTTACCTTTGCTTCAATCTGTTTAGTATCTGGATTCTGAAATAAAAATTTGATTTTGCTCTTGCCATCATCTGACGAACCTTTAAGCTGAGAAAATTTATACCTCCAAAGCACTGCCTAAAGGAAAGAAGAAACATATGGGAATTAGTGCAATAAATACCTACATTCATAGTGAAAAGCAGTTCTCTATAGGTTACAGTGAATCATATTAACTATCATATTCAAATGTTATAGGATGATTAAGATATATTTATCACAGACAATAATATAGTACTGGGTTTGACTTTCAATTTCTAGAAATTACTTTGTAAACCTGAAATAAATATTACAAAATAAGTACAGATAGTGTCTTTATCTTACATAATAATAAAATTATAACTAGATCACTCAAAGTTCATGCCAGTGAAAACAGTTAAATCATCAAAAAATCTTTGATTTGTTTCTTATGAATAGAAGTGACAATGTGTGAAACTGACAATTCTGTAGATAATTCTGTAAAATTTCCTCTTAAAAATTCAAACTAATAGCTGATATCTTTGTCAAGATGAAAGATTAATATGCAGAAATATGAATAATATTAGTTGGATCCAGAATAAGCATTTTATATAACTATTCTCATAAGACTGCTACAACTCAGCTTATGGATTATTTTTACAAAGCTTTGTCTTCTAACATTTCAATAGGAGTAGGAGATTTACATAGAATCAAAATTCTAATTAAAACATAGCTGAGTGTTTGCTTTTTGAGCATACAGCAATATTGTATTTCCTTAAAAAGTCCAAAGAAATTTTGCAGGTGATAGAAGAGTATTTTAATTTAGAAGACAGTATGCGGTATTCCTGTATGTTCTCCAAACTGAGCGCTTCAGAATTGATATTTCATCCCAATATGGTACATTATGACAGTCAATGAACTAACTATTGGCGTATTTTGTTAAATAAACTCTTACTTATTAAAATTTCCTGATTTTACCTTAAAGGCTTTTTCTGGTACTGATTCAAGATACCACACTGACTGCAGTCACAGATTTATTGGCTTGACTTTTCTGTGATGGTTTCTCAGAGCTCTGTTAGACTGTTGTGATAATTTGAGGAAAACCACTAAGGTCCCCTCATATCATTCCCTATTGGTATTTGTTTAGTACCTTTATCATGACTCGATGAGCTAAGTATTTTATAGAAGTAAAATTAAATATTTTTGTTTCCATCAATAGTCACCATGTGTTTGAGAGATTGCTCTTTATTTTTTTATTATATTGAAAGCATTGTGACACTTGTTACTGTTACTGTGTTTGGCATATCGAATACATCACGGGTAGCTTGCCAGGCTCTGCCGTGCGGGCAAGATACTCTCGGTAGCTTGCTGGGCTCTCCGAGAGTAACGGAGGAATCAAACTCGGGTCGGCCATGTTGGCTGCGTGCAAGGCAAACATCCTATCGCTGTGCTATCACTCCAGCCCATTGAAAACATTATCAATATTAATTAAATTTTGTTACTTGCTCTTAGCAAGATGCAATAGTACACTTAAATATAAAACCTTGCAAAGTAAAGAATTAGGTTACTCATTCATGATGTTAATCAAAAGCTAGTTTATGATGTTTGTGTTCTTGGTTATTTATCAGGATGTCATGATATTTATAATAGGATTTCATCTTTGAAAATCTATTGCTGTTTCTTTTGTGTTAAAAAAAGGTAAAGGCCCTTCCGTTGATCGTCGATTTGCTCGAGCGGGCCCAGTAACGTCTCCATTGGAGACTTTGTTGTTACTGTGTTTGGCATATTGAATACTCTCGGTAGCTTGCCGGGCTCTCTGCTTTTGTGTTAGTTGCAGTTTTATGCAAGTTCTCATTGGCCTTTCATTTGGTTGTCCATTCTGGTATTGAAAGTACTAACTGATGCCTTCAATGACAGTTATAAAATAGTTTATTTCTCCTACATTGGGAATTAAACAATCGATAGGACTGAAAGCTCTGTTTCCATTTTGTTTGTTAAAGGTCTGTAAAGATCCTGAACTAACATTAACTCTCAAGAAAACGTATGTCCTACCAAAGCCTCAGAATAAGGAAATGTAATTTTCTGATATGATTTTCCCACAGTCCTTGTGATACAGTCCCTGTAGCCTCCCACTGCCTGACTGTGTTGGGGACCCCAACAAAAATATTTAATTTTACTTCTATAAAATGCTTAACTCATTGAGTCATGATAATGGTAATGAACAAATACCAATAGGGGATGATAGAAGGGGACCTTAACAGTTTTCCTCAAATTATCCCAATAGTCTAACAGAGCTCTGAGAAACCATCACAGAAAATTCAAACCAATAAATCAGTGGCTGCATGCAGCATAGTATCTAGAATAGAATCAGTACCACAAAAAAGGCTTTAAGGTAAAACCAGGACATTTTAGTAAGTAAGAGTTTATTCAATAAAATATGCCAATATTTAGGTCAGACTCCTTTTAGCCTAAACTCCATTCCATGGGTTGAATTCATTCATATTATTCTTGTGTTTATTTTAAAGATGTTTATGTTCTTCAGGAACATGGATCTGGAGGAGAATGATAAGTCTTATATTCTTACTATTTGTCTCAAACATTGTTATAAATTATACGTACAAATATATAACTAGTTTGCTTTACTTTTTAACTTGGTTTAGTTTATTTTTTCTTTTTGGACCAAGCCTGGCTAGTCTCAGGCTAACTCCTGACTTCATGCTCTGTCCTCACAGTGCTCAGAGGATAATATAACGTGTTGTGGATCCAAACAGGGTCAGCTGTGTGCAAGGCAATTGCCCAGAAGCTGTATTGTCTCCCTGATGTCATAACTATCATCCTTTGCTCTTGTTTTCCCTTTTTGTCTTGTTCTGGACAATCTAGTGGTCACAGGAATATAAAGAACATACTGTTTTTTGCTGCTGTTGGCGTCACTCTGGTAGGAAACCAAGTTCCCTTCGTGGGTGACTAGTTTTCAGGGACAACTCTCTGCATCTGAGTTTATCTCTCTTAAACCTTCACCACCTGTTTCCCAATTTTCATATTTCCTTGAAGTCCAACCAACCAAGCCCCTTCTCTGTCTTTGATGCCACTGTGTGGAATCTGATGGAAGAAAGACCATGCTAGAAATAGTCCACACCACACGGCGAGGCTGAGTTCTGAGAGTTGAGCTGTCTGGTGGCTGCCTGGAGCCTGGGAGCCACCACTGGTTTCATTATAACCATCCAGAATTTATCACAGGACTCATTCAGAACCCATCCTGTGGAGTTTAGATTAAATCCCAGTTAGAGATCAATTCACAGCTAAGACTCTTTTGGTTCTGGATTAAAGCAGTGTATTTGACAGAAAAGCAATAGGCCTTTTCACCAGAACCTACCGCACGCTGAACGACAGGGAGAGACAGAAGAAAACGTGGAGCAAGAACTGTCCATCATACTTGGATTTTGTGTAGACCTCTATTCTATATTTAATACCAACATCATTACTTTTTTTAAAAAATAGATCTACTTTGTCCATTGAAATCCACCATGAGCAAAGCCAGAGGACACAATCATGCTGGCTAAGCTAGTGATCTAGGTACCCATGAATTAATTCTTGGGCCTGAAATGCTTCATCACATTACAACGCTGGCCATTAGGGGAAGCCCCGTGAAGCTATTTAAGATAAAAAAGAAATGACTGAGTTGTGTTGAGAGATTTTTGGGCTTAGCATGTCGAAGCATGAGTGGACAGAGTAAGCTTCTGTAGGTAAGTGACCCTGTGGACTACGCCCGCATTTGGAGGTCAAAATCAAAGCTTTTTATGATGTTTTCAGCATCAATAAAGCAGGCGGGGTCCTTTCTGATAAAACTAAAAGCCCCTGGAAAAGTGGTCCTAAAGAAAGTTTATTTTCCAGGTGATGAAGATGAGGTATTCGGCCATGCTGTGTCTGGGAATCAGCCTGCCAATTTCCTCATGAAGCCTGATACAAGCCAATCTGGTTTCTGAGAAGAACAAGGCTATTAAGAAATCTTTCAGATGAAACTATGGACAATATGTACATGAAGAAAGCATAAGAGACAGAGTAAATGGAATTTTTCTAGTTTATAGAAATAAGATTCTTGTGATAAGGGTAGTATTATATGCAGTATCTATTTTATTTGCTGCTTTTGTTATTATTATTATCATTATTACATAGGTTTGACAGGGTTATTCCTGGCTCTGTACCCAGGGATCACCCCTGGTGGTTCTCAAGGGAACATATGCAGTGCCAGGACCATCTGGATCAGGTGCCACATGCAAAACAAGTGCCTTACAACTCTACAACATCTCTGGCCCCTGAAATGCCTACTTTAGAGATGTAAGTTTGAAAATTGTTTAATTAGAGGAGCGCAATGTTAAGAAGACAATGGTTACTAATGAAAAACTAGAGAATTGTTATAAATCTTCACAAGTTGATAGGAGTATATAATTTGGAAGATTATTGTTATTGTTATCTTTATGATTATTAGAATTATTGTTATTATTATTTGGTTGTTTGGGTCACACTCAGCCGGTTGTGCTCAGGACTGCCTCCTGGCTCTGGGCCCAGGGATCAGACCTGGTGAGGTTCAGCGAACAGTACAGGGTCCAGGGATCAGTCATGGTGGCTGCACAGCCAATGCTCTGTACCATCATCACCTTGAGCCTGCAGCACGCACCTATCCATCAGCCGGAACCACAGTATTACCAATGACATAAAAAACTCAAAGGCATAGACCGGCACTTTCTTGAAAAACTAGTCATTACTTTTTTTTAAGTGAACAAATAAGTTATAATATTTAGCTGAATAAGAATACTTAAAGTCATTCTCTAAGCATAAGTTGTTATCTAAATTAAATTGTGAATAAAATCATCTGATTTTATTTTTGATTTTTGTAATATTCATTTATGAGAGGAAAACTACTTTTATATAATTGTTTAGCCCCGGCAGAAGAAATGAACAATTAAACTGTGTCCTTTAGCAGTGATTCATTTGGAATATATGTAAAATTTAATAATTTTCCCTTTGTAATTTTGGATACAATTTAGATATTTCTTTTAGCAAAATTGAAATATCATCATGTTAATATTTATAATAGCATTATATAAATTAAGTCAAAAGCTACA